TTGTCCTGGTCGTTGAAATCCTGTCCAAGTTTAGGTAAAAAGCAAAAAACTATAAATTTATTTTACCCTGGCCTTGTGGGAGCTAAAAACTTGAGGCCTAAAATTGTCTTGTACTTTTGAAATTTCGAGAACGGGGCGAAGCCTACGTTTGTCCACATGTTTTATTATTTCCCAATCAGTAACTTCAAGTCTTAAATACATGCTATTTTCATAATTTGAAAAATCAATAAACCCTACTATCTTAAAATTTCCGCTATTTTTGTTTGTCATGCACAGCCAACTCAACGTCCAATCTCATACTGTTATATTTAAGGCCGAAAACGCTCCCTCATACGTTTCAAAAACTGCCACCAATAACTGCTTCTTTCAGGAATTACTCGGAATCGAGCGTGCTGCTAGCATAAGTAGCAGATTAGTATCCCAAATCTTGCTGTTACTAGTTTTCCATGGTTCAAATTTAAAGCCAGAATGAAAGTCATCTTCATACTCCAACTGGGCAATCGTTTACTAGTGGATTTACTCACTCTTAGTACACAGAAGCAGCTTCTTCGCTTATGCGCGGGCTTTTTTGCTTTTTTGTTCGAATCGAGGTATTTCAGCCTCATGCTAAACCACATTGAGCACTGCCTTACCGCTACAGTTTAAATTTAATAATGAGTATTTTCCTTTATGCAAAATTTAAGATAATTTATACTAATGATTTTGTATGATGATTTAATGCTATTTCAGCAATAAATATGCTGAGGGACAAGCCACCGGGTACTTTTGTTGTGCGTGACAGCAATAGCTTTCCGGGTGCGTTCGGCTTGGCGTTGAAAGTAGCTACGCCACCACCCGGCATACATCCCGGTAATTTTTTATCTTCGTTTTTATTAAATACACATCAAAAAGTAATTGGAAGGAGTTCATTCAAGGCACTTCTATATGCTCTGAGTTTAGCCACTGTACATCGTGATATTCTAGATTTAGGAGCTGTGGGCTAATATTGATTGGAGAGGTATAAAGGGAAATCAAGCAATAAGACTAAAAGTAATGAGAATTTTAGTAAGACGTGAAAGATGGTTCTAGCAAATGTTCTTCATAATATATAGTAGCGTTAATTATGATCACTAAAGTCACTG